TAGGCGAATGGATGAGAGGATATATGAATGTACGGATCCAATCCTGGAAAGGAATACATTTACAGAAGGCCATACCATCTTGGTCTTCATTGCTACTAATTTATAAGGAGTTCTGGAGTAGTTTTGGATTATTCTACTAATGGTCACGTCCGACATGCTAATGAAGAACTCTTATTCAGAGTATATTGCATATATAAAGAGCTCAGATCATCCAGATTGCAACAAATCACAAATATTAATAAGGCCTTTCTCGGTCTGTCAGAGTGGTACCTGAAGTAGACGGTTCATTTTTACAGGAGTAGAAATGACACTCTCTCCATCAATTAAAGTGGGATCTGTCACCAAAGCGAATATCTGACCAGTCAGGGCATCCAAACGGGGTAGAACGGATGCAAGTATCTGGTGTCGGTGAGCATAACAGCGACGATGAATTGACACTATCTGGTGACGCCATTCGACCGGCGAGGGACTGTCGGACAGCGAAGGAATGGGTCTCCGCGTCGGCGAGACCAGAACCGACGGCCAGGCCGAGAGCCAAACAGAAAGCTGAAAAGTGAGCAAGTAAGGAAGGGTGAGAGCAGTAAGAGCAAGAAGTCTCAGATCTTTTTGTCCGTTTTGATGTGGAAATTGGTAGAAATTATCAGTTATTCTTGAATAAAAACTTGATCAGCCTAAGTAAAAAATTATGGTTATTTAGCCTTGCCTACCGAAAAGTAATAAAAGTTCTTAATCTTTCCTTTTGATAATCGGTATCCTAAGTATAGGCAGGTGAAAATAATGCATATGTGCTGTAGCCAGGCTGCCGAAGGTAATTAAGGCATACTGAAGACCAATATATTTGACAAAATAGCGTCCAAGAAAGCAGTGATAGCTGATCCTGAGTGTTCCGATAACAATGCATAGGTAGATGGAGAAACTTTCGGCGTATGAACTGAGGAGCTACATGGGCGGTTGGTTCTGATTTACACTTCAAAAGGCTACGCCCAGGAGGACTTTATACTCGTCTCAGAGCTGCGTGCACTTCTGACACCACATCGTCTCACTGAGTCCAGTCTCAGACGAAGAGTGGATTTCATCCGGGACTCGGATGTGGCCGAATCCGTTTCGACACGTTCGACATGGTCTGTAGACAAGCCCAGCTTCAAAGCTGGCATTGGCATACCAGCCTCGTTTGCGCCTGCAGAAATTAAAGTCAAATGAAGTACGGTTTGACCTAAACTTCTTTTCTGCATCCGCTCACGAAGCGAAAAGTAGACCGCAGTTTTAAGGTCCATGCAGCCAATGCGGATAGGCTCCTGTGTCAGAAAAGTGAGTACCTACAACTGGAAATAGCTAATCAAGAGAAAAAGTGAAACCAAGGTCAACAATAACATCGTGAGGCCAACTCATATCCTCGTGATAAAATTCAATGATCGGTCCTTTATCACTTTAAGCTAGCTAGGATGACTAGAACTCTTATTCAAGAGACACTAATTGTCTCGAGACCTACTTACTGCGGATACAAGTAACATAATCAGGTTGAATTTTCCCATAATGCTATGATCAAGCTTCAAAATGTAAGTGAATTTCACTAAGCCTTGCTTCACAAAAAGTATTATCAGCCAAGGTAGACAGCAGTTTCGACCCCGCCTCGGTGGTATCAGCAATCCCAATGGAAATCGAACACATGGTGTGCAGCTTATATTTTCGATATGTTACACCAACGCCAGACTATCATGGGTACAATTGGATTAAAAGACAGACGTGTATTTTAAGTAAGGAAAGCCATGTCGTGGATTAAGTAAGCTTTTGTTTTTTAGATGCGAAGACAAACTGGGTTTCGATGAATCTCCTGAGATTCGTAGGTCGATCTCACCAGATGAGGACGGATAAATCTCGTTGTACTGCGGCCGTGTGGCTTTTATACGACGTTCTGGTTGACCCAGTCTACTAGTAATCCCTTGTTTCGAGTGAAAACTGGCTGAGTTTTCGTCCATCATTCGATGGACATCATCGGAGCTGGGTCTCATTCCTGTAAAATTCTCACATTAACACTAGGGCAACAAGACTATCCGGCTCTAGCTTACCTGGCCTCATGGTAAGGAAAGTTTAAATAGTTTTCTACTTTCACTCAACCAGCGTGAAAGGAACATTAGGCTCACAATAAAAATGTAAGAGAATAAGTCCTTACCTTTTCTTAATTTTCTCATCATTAGAGAAGAGGGTAAGTTAGGCAGAGATGCTTACAGAAAGTCAACATATGTTGGCTCTGCTTAATTTTCTTTCCAACCAGAGTTACAAGACTAAGGTTGGAATTTTGAATTTAATTATTATTAGAAGTATGAGGCTAGCGGATAGCAAACATTTTACTAAAGAGTTGGAACGGCAGACAAATTTATTCTTGAAAAATAATTATCGTTTGGGCCTTATCGAGAATAATATCTCTCTACTGAGGAATACATTTTCAGACGGAGACCATTTAGTCAAAGATAGACAAACTGAGACCTTTTCCCATGTCCCAATTTTGCCGTCATGCCTTCTCTCAAAAAAGATAGGCAAATTAGTAAGAAAAGGCTGAGATAAAAACAGTGCTCAAAGAAACCCCACACTTTCTTCTGTTATGCCATCTTTTAGAAAGAAACATGACCTATTATCGAGTTCCGACTGCCCCAAGATTGTTTGCTCTTGTGGTCGATGATATGTTGGTGAGACTTGCCGTCCTATTCGACAAAAATTGGAAGAACACAA